CACAACACAACCACTTCAACACAAGTACATAAACACAACCACACAAGCGCACGACCCCCACGCTCCACGGCCGCAGGCCCCCGGCTCGTGCCAAGACCGCGACGGGGCCACGCCCACGCGGCGACGACTCACGACGAGAAACAACAACTCTCGTTTTCCACCACCACCTCCACCACCACCTCTACCCACCATCACCTCTACCACCACCAACTCTCGTCTTCCACCACCACCACCACCACCACCTCTACCACCTCTACCACTACCACCTCTACCACCACCTTTACCCACCACCACCTCTACCACCACCACCACCACCTCTACCACCACCACCACCACCTCTACCACCACCACCTCTACCACCACCACCTCTACCACCACCATCACCACTACCTCTACCACCACCACCTCTACCACCACCACCACCACCACCTCTACCACCACTACCTCTACCACCACCACCACCACCACCTCTACCACCTCCACCACCACCACCTCTACCACCACCACCTCTACCACCACCACCTCTACCACCACCACCTCTACCACCACCACCTCTACCACCACCACCACCACCTCTACCACCACTACCTCTACCACCACCACCTCTACCCCCACCACCACCTCTACCACCACCACCTCTACCACCACCACCACCACCACCTCTACCACCACCACCTCTACCACCACCTCTACCACCACCTCTACCCCCACCACCACCTCTACCACCACCACCTCTACCACTACCACCTCCACCACCACCACCTCTACCACCTCCACCACCACCACCTCTACCACCTCCACCACCACCACCTCTACCACCTCCACCACCACCACCTCTACCACCTCTACCACCACCACCTCTACCACCACCACCTCTACCACCACCACCTCTACCACCACCACCTCTACCACCTCTACCACCACCTCTACCACCACCACCTCTACCACCACCACCACCTCTACTACCACCTCTACCACCACCTCTACCACCACCACCTCTACCACCACCACCACCTCTACCACCACCACCTCTACCACCACCAACTCTACTACCACCACTACCACCACCTCTACCACCACTAACACCACCACCTTTGCCCCTACCCCTCTACCCACCCCCTCTACGCCTCCACCCACCAACCCCCTTTACCCGCTACCCAGCCACCTCTCTACCCCCCACCCGCCCCCCAGGACACGGGAAATCGTTAACTGTTGACTCACTTTGGGTGCCCTCCAGGTACGAACTGGTGTGTCAGCCTCCTCACCTGTGTGTGTGTCAGCTTCCTCGCCTGTGCGTCAACCTACTCAATTACAAGCCTCCTCACCTGTAAGCCGACTCACTCGAAGCCAGCCTGCTCACTGGCGTCGACCTACTCGCCCACCTGTAAAGCCTACCCACCGGCGTTATTGCACAACTGCACGCAAACGTAAGCTCGCACACCTGCACGACCTCCGGTCTAGAATAAAAACAAAAATCCTAAATCCTGAACAAACACCGCCGTCTCGAACGTGCGGCGGGATTTGTTCACGGGCACAGTTGAGACGGATCAAACTCCCCAGACGCCGCTCCGTGGCTAAAGACGCCGGTCCGTGACCACCACCACCTCTCGCTGGCAGCGCGCTTCCACCACCGATTGCCAGGTCCCGGCGCCGGTGGCAGCTGCTCAGGAGACTCGCCACGAGCATCGTCTCACGGATATGGCTCTGATGCACGCTGCGTACCTTGTGTAAGAGAAGGGGACACGGAGGCTCAACATAGGGAGGCAGAGGGCTCCCTTTATGGACACGCGGATCTCCCAGTCTCAAACGCCATCTTGTCATCATTGTCCTGCTCCTCTCTCTCTCTCCCTGTCATCCCTCAACTCTTCGCCTCCTCTCCTCCCACAGACACGTCCCCCCCCCCCCAGTGTCCGGATTCTCCTAGACGCACAAGTAGCTACAGTAACGGGAAAAAAAGGTATTTGATCCCCTGCTGATTTTGTACGTTTGCCCACTGACAAAGAAATGATCAGTCTGTAAGTTTAATGGTAGGTTTATTTGAACAATGAGAGACAAAATAACAACAAAAATCCAGAAAAACGCATGTCAAAAATGTTATGAATTGATTTGCATTTTAATGAGGGAGATAAGTATTTGACCCCTCTACAAAACATGACTTAATACTTGGTGGAAAAACCCTTGTTGGCAATCACAGAGGTCAGACGTTTCTTGTAGTTGGCCACCAGGTTTGCACACATCTCAGGAGGGATTTTGTCCCACTGCTCTTTGCAGATCTTCTCCAAGTCATTAAGGTTTCGAGGCTGACGTTTGGCAACTCGAACCTTCAGCTCCCTCCACAGATTTTCTATGGAATTAAGGTCTGGAGACTGGCTAGGCCACTCCAGGACCTTAATGTGCTTCTTCTTGAGCCACTCCTTTGTTGCCTTGGCCGTGTGTTTTGGGTCATTGTCATGCTGGAATACCCATCCACGACCCATTTTCAATGCCCTGGCTGAGGGAAGGTTCTCACCCAAGATTTCACGGTACATGGCCCCGTCCATCGTCCCTTTGATGCGGTGAAATTGTCCTGTCCCCTTAGCAGAAAAACACCCCCAAAGCATTTTGTTTCCACCTCCACGTTTGACGGTGGGGATGGTGTTCTTGGGGTCATAGGCAGCATTCCTCCTCCTCCAAACACAGCGAGTTGAGTTGATGCCAAAAAGCCCCATTTTGGTCTTATTTGACCACAACACTTTCACCCAGTTGTCCTCTGAATCATTCAGATGTTCATTGGCAAACTTCAGACGGGCATGTATATGTGCTTTCTTGAGCAGGGGGACCTTGCGGGCGCTGCAGTCAGTCCTTCACGGTGTAGTGTGTTACCAATTGTTTTCTTGGTGACTATGGTCCCAGCTGCCTTGAGATAATTGACACGATCCTCCCATGTAGTTCTGGGCTGATTCCTCACCGTTCTCATGATCATTGCAACTCTACGAGGTGAGATCTTGCATGGAGCCCCAGGCCGAGGGAGATTGACAGTTCTTTTGCGTTTCTTCCATTTGCGAATAATCGCACCAACTGTTGTCACCTTCTCACCAAGCTGCTTGGCAATGGTCTTGTAGCCCATTCCAGCCTTGTGTAGGTCTACAATCTTGTTCCTGACATCCTTGGAGAGCTCTTTGGTCTTGGCCATGGTGGAGAGTTTGGAATCTGATTGATTGCTTCTGTGGACAGTTGTCTTTTATACAGGTAACAAGCTGAGATTAGGAGCACTCCCTTTAAGAGTGTGCTCATAATCTCAGCTCGTTACCTGTATAAAAGACACCTGGGAGCCAGAAATCTTTCTGATTGAGAGGGGGTCAAATACTTATTTCCCTCATTAAAATGCAAATCAATTTATAACATTTTTGACAGGCCTTTTTCTGGATTTTCTTGTTGTTATTCTGACTCCCACTGTTCAAATAAACCTACCATTAAAATTATAGACTGATCATTTCTTTGTCAGTGGGCAAACGTACAAAATCAGCAGGGGATCAAATACTTTTTCCCCTCACTGTCCAAATGTAGCTATGGGCACCGCACTTTCAAGGCCCCCGCGCTAAACGCTTTCAAGCTATCAATTTCGGTTCGGTGATTTTGCACTTGCTCTATTACGATAGTACTATACCGCCTTCAACTTGAATGAACGACTGGGTGTTTAAGGTTAGCGATGCGTCGTATTATCTGGCTGTGTAGCAAATAAAAAAAACACAATTACTTTACTATGTAAGTGAAAAAAAATCTACGTTTTAATATTGGTATTTTTTATTTAACATACGCGACAGGCCCCCGCAGTAGCTTAATCCGGCACTGGCCCCGCGCCGAGTCCACGGACGTGACAGCTCTGCTGCTATATCATGCTATTTTACAACACACCCCTAACATACACAACCCGGCCACATGTGCTGGCATCAGCCTACAAAGACAAAGACCCCCCCCCCCCCCTTCTCCTCCCCGTGTAGCCTTCACGGACTGTTGGGTCAAGTGCTGTTGGCGAGCAGCACCTATGAAGGTCGGGACGGCGTGCGAGGCGGGTGGGTGGCCAGCACCACGCACGGCCGCCTTTGTCTCCCGAGTGGCGATGTTTACGCATCGCACCAGATACTCATCCGAGCCTGGGGGAGGCCCAGGACTGTCTCGTCCCTTCACCTGATGAAGGCCGCTTGTGTTGTGACCGAAACGTCGTGATTTTTGGTTAATTTTTTTTGTTATTTTATTTTCACCTACGTGACTTTACCCAATAGAACCAAAGAGTATGGATCCTAGCAGTCACGAAAGCTTTAAATCTAGAACAGGAGGATTTCTCCACCACTCTGTCTGTCGCCTGATGATGCTGGTTGTAATTCTTGGCGAAACGTCGTACCCGAATTGTAAATGCCGTGGGTTTACTCTACAACACAGTGGTGTGCTACACAAGTAACGAAAACGCGTTTCGTTTACGTGACAACCCTTGCTAAGTCTCTGTCGGGTGGTGGCGGGTTTAACGACACATCTATATTTACGCGATCGAACCCAAAAACCTCCATTACGAACAATGACTGCAGGCGCTGCGGCCGTGAATTATGGACGTGCACTCGCTGCTGCTGTCGCGATGTGTCGAGTGTATGACTACAGTATTGATGATTCTTTATTATTCCGTTTGTTTATCAACTCTTCCCCGAGGGCCCTGTCAAGTTTTCGCAGTAGGGGGCGATGCTGCTGCTGCGCGATCTTTAATTGAATATATTTTTCAGGTATTATTTCAGCATTGTGATGATGTTTGACAATTTTTTTCTCTTCCACCTATGGGAGGACAACCGGAGAATAACAGAGGAAGGACCATGCAGAACAAGGCGAGAACATACAAACTTCTCACACACACACACACACGTGTCCTGGAGTCGGGAATCTATCCCAAGAATTTGCTTGGGTGTCAGAGACTGTGATGGGTGTCAGAGACTGTGATGGGTGTAAGAGATGTGACGGCGATGGGTGGCACTCACTCAGGGGGCGCGCCAGTCTTGGGCGTGTGGAACGCGAGCGAGAAGCCGAAGAGCCCCTTCCCCGGCTGGGACTTGAGCAGCGCCCCAGCGGGGTCCAGGTTGAAAGCACCCACGGGGCCCAGCAGGGCCAGGAACACGAGGACCCCCCTCGCGGCCATCGGATCAATCGCCGCACACCGCTCGCCAGGCGAGTTAGCCGCGGCCTGTCGTTCCCGCGCTGCGAGGCGCCGGGATTTCAATTCACGCCGCTCGCCTCCAAAGCCCCGAGCCCGGACCAATTGGTGGGGAGCGATCACCCCTCGCCTGTCTCGGACCTAACCCCGCTCCACCTGTGACCCGCCCACCCACAAAGCCGGCACCGTCTTATCTGCACGCCTCCCCCTTGTTTCAGCGTCACCCCGCTCCGACTCGTGTGCCCGAGTAAGGGGTCCGCTCCCTCCCCACTGCCGTGTTCACCTGCCGCTATCCGCCTCACCTTTGTATCCAAACCCCGCCTCTACGCTCGCCGCTGTGCGCGCGCTCTCTCAGTGCCGTGACCACGCGCACCTCCGCACTGTCTTTTATGATGCCGTGACTCCGCCAGGCCACCACCACCACCACCACTTCCTTTACCCCCACCCACCCACCCCGCGCCGTCTCAGTGACGAACCCCACCCTCTGCTCCTCTGCGGTCAACGCCGCATGTCCCTGCGCTCCCTCCCGCCTGAGGAATGTGGTGGAGCGCCACTCCTGCTGCCTGGTCCCAGAGGGCCCTGGGGCGCGCGGTGACACCGTTCACAGCTCCCCCGTTAATCCCCACCACCAACCCCACCTCGCACCGTGGCCAGTGCACCACGTTGTGCCAATGCGACTGAACCCGATGAACATCGCGGTGAGAGACGCGCCCCCCCCCCCTCCCAACCTCTTGACGAGAACGGCGAGCACATCTTGGGAGCGTCTGTCTCACCCTCCCCCCCCCCATACACACCGGTTCTTAAAATCGTAAAATTGCATTCCTGTACGAGTGACCGCGTGGGAGAATAAAAGCACCGGGTTACCAGTTTAACTCGCACAAACCATTAAGGCGCAACATTTTATGTTTTATTTAAATGTAATTTTGAAAATGTATTATTTATTTTTGTTGCTTTTATTTTATTTTCTACGTGACTTTACCGAAAGAAACTAAAGAATATTTTTTTTACTTTTCACAACTGAACATCGCAGGGAGCTGCCGTGGGTGTCATGGCCATCACACTGGGGCTGGGACTTGGCATCCACGAGGCGCCGGGTCGATTCCGTCTGTCGGCGCGGAAGTTACAAAGAAAGCAACCGTGCAAGTTTGTTCTAACTCCCACCTCCCCCCACCCCCGTTCCTCCCGCTGCTCGCTGCATGCGGTGTGAATGGGGTTGTTCGCCAGTCGATGGGCAGGCAGAACGCGTGCTGCGGTGTTGGGGTAGAAGCGGCGTTGGTTCCGACCACTCCTTCAAAAGGCGCCTGGTCGGCATCGGGGGTCCACACCGACACGCTCGAGCAACTCCCTCTTGTGGAGGGCTCCCTGCCTACAGCGGCGCGAGGAACAAAGTTCAGCGTTTAACCTTTAACCTTTGATGACTTGGGCCACCGTGCTGTTTTGTATGCATGTTGAACTTCTTTCGCAACGTACGTGGCCAATCCGTGCTTAATCGGAAGCGCGTTAGCCGACCGATGGATTCATTACTAAAAGTTCTCCCCCTCACCAACCCCACCCCCCGAAAACGATTGCCAAGCTCCAGATTTTTCGGAACCGCTATCGATCCGGAAAATGAGCGGTTATCGTTCAACGTATGTTCAACTTCTTTCGCACCGTACCGTAGCCAACCGTGCTCATCGGAGGCGCGTCGGCCAATCGATGCATTCATTAAAGTAACCCTGTAAACTTCGATTTAAAGCTTTCGTGACTGCAAGGATTCATCTTCTTTGGTTCTTTCGGTAAAGTCACGTAGAATGAGAATAAAATAATAAATTAATAAAATAACACAATAAAATTCTCACGACGTTTCGGCCACAACACAAGCGGCCTACACAGTCTCGTCCCTTCACCTGATGAAGGCCGTTTGTGTTGTGGCCGAAACGTCGTGAGAATTTTATTGTGTTATTTTATTTTATTAATTTATTATTTTATTCTCATTCTACGTGACTTTACCGAAAGAACCAAAGAAGATGAACCCCGTAAACGTGAACCGGTTCCAGATTTTTTTTCCGGAACCGCGAGCGATCCCGAAAACGAGGACCGGTTACCGTTGGAACAACCCCGATACGTGCATGTACGAGGAAGCGTGGCTGTCAATCTACAAAGCGAACGGGCGTGGTGGTGGCGGCGGGGTTCGTCACAACCGGGCCGCCCACGCACTCGGAAAGACGCAGGTAACGGAACACGCGCCCCCCCCCCCCCCCCCCCGCCAAAGGTGCGCGTACCTGGCGAGTATTTTTTTTTTTTGCCCGGGCGCGCTCGCCGCACCCTGCACACGCCCTGCAAACGGAGACGCGGTGGCCACGCCTGACTGCGCGTGAGCAAGTGTGGCCACTTCCTGGGTTTATTTCACGAAGGGCCCCCCCCCCCCCCTCCGACTCTAGAGAGCTTACGAGACCGCCAAACGAACGTGCGTGCTACTTTATACGTAGGTACATTTATTCAAGCAACTGCCACTGGAGTCTTGTACCAAACAAACAAACGTAACCAAGGCGAGCAAAGTTTATTTAAAAAATAACGATTTTTGCCGTTTCCAAGATGTGAACACATTTTTTTTTTTTACAAGATGCTAAGCACTGCTAAAGCTCCGCAACTTCAATATGAAGCCACAGACTGCGGCTAGGAGGAAGGCGCTCCCATTGAGGAATCCCACCCGCGGACAGCTGCGTAAGCCCCGCGTCCATGTTGTTCAAATCGCACTGCGTCTCAACCCCCCCCACCCCCTGCGAGGGATCGACACAGCCGTGATGCGTGGACGCGAGACACCTTCATAAATAACTCCCCCTCCCCTAACCCCCCCGCCCCCCGCCCCCCGTGTACACAATGAGCCTATGTTACGCTATTAACAGATCACACACCACATGTACCGACGACGGTGGCACTTTAGACCCCTAACATGCAACAGCCACTCTACGCTTACAAACGCGACGGGTGCATGAACTAAGGGGGTTCTCTTGTACAATTTTTTTTTTACTTACACACGCGTCGCGCGACCTGCGTGGGCCTAGTATATACAAGGTTCACTCGCCGGCATTAACTGCCGCCGCCGTCACCACCGCCCGTGCCGTGCGCACGTTGGGGAAACGCCTCCCGGCGGGTGGAGCGACCGCACGCTTTGTCCACCGCCGGCCCAGGGAACGGCGTGCGGAGTAAGGAGCGACGCGCAGCACCCCCCGATAAAAAATGGCAACTGTCAAAGTGCGTGCCCGCCTGCCCACCGCCCGCCTTATTTTGCAGCACTGACATTTCGTACAGATTTGCTCGTCTCGGGCATGCCAGGTTCGCCGTCCGTAAAGGTTTGCATTTTGATCAGCGGCTAAGGATCTCTCCATAAATCCTCAGCGGCGGCGGAATCCTCTCCCCCCCCCCACTGATCCTTGTTGTTCCGATACGAGTCACCGGACAGGGCACGCAAGGTCCGCATGCTCAAACTGGCTCTGAATCCAGCTGGAGCCCACGAAGCATCCGGGGGGCAGGTGGACCAGCGCTCCGAGCACTTGCGCCGAGACACGGCAACATGAAGCACCACGATACGCTTGCCGGCTTTTCCTGCCGCCATGCACTGCATTCTGAAGCCACCCCCCCCCCCCCTCCGCACCGTACGACTTTCCCTGCTCCATGCAATAAAAATGAACATGCACAGTGCGGCACTGGCGCGCACGAGTCCGGCGGCGAACTCTGCATCCCTGGACGGGGAGCGCCGCCCCCCTCCCCTTCTGTACGCCCACCACACCGGACAACTTCATTGAATTCTTGACCACGGGGACTCAAATTTTTGGTCAAGTCAACTAAAGAAGAGGGTAGAGATGTGGTGGGTGTTTTTGTGAGCAACGGTGCACGGTCGAGGAGATGCTGCTGCTGCTGCTACTTGACAGATGAGGGGTGGCCACAGCTGCTGCCGTGGGTCTGGCGACATCAGCCCGACTTGGGCGAGGAGGAGGAGCGCATTCGCTTTTTCTTGCCGTGCTTCTTGTGTTTCTTCTTCCTCTTCTTCGACTTGGAGCTCTGCAGCACGGCAGTGTGACAACGAGCGGAATCTTAAATCGTGCGCGAGCAATGTGCAAACCACCGCGTAAAAGCCTGACGATTGCCTTTTCAACCGCAATCGGCAAATCCGCGGTCCGCAAACACAAAACGCATACGGGGTTTGAGTTCACGGTGTGTAAATGCGACACCCCCTCGTTTTGTTTTACGTCACCCTACGATCGACGCAAACACTCAAAAGGAGGCATCATTTTTTCATCAAGTAAAATATCACCAACATATTCGAGCGTTAAACGCAACCCGTACGGTAAATGTACAGAATGAAAGTAAAGTCACGTGGTTGTGCACTGCAGGAGGATAAATCGTGCGGCTGCACGTCACTGCCTCAATGGAGGCTGTGGACACCGCGTGACCCCGGGACCCGCGGTGGGCTGCTTGGGAGACAAGATGGCGCAGCGAGTGCTGCTCTTCCGCGGTTTCATCGTCGCGAGCGTCGCAGTCGCCGCGAATGGTCGAGCCGCAAGGGGCGAGATCGGCGATCCGGACCTCAATAAATACGGCGCGAAACCGCGAGGGCTAAACCCTCGAGAGGGAAGGGTTTGCTGCAGTTTGCATCACTGCGCTTGAGTGTTTGACACTCACAGGTAGGGGTTACCATTTTTACATCGTGGCAAAAATGCACATCCAGTCACCTCCTTGATGTCCACCATGCCTAATCCTGTTTTTACAGTTACTAAAATGGACAAATGTAAGACATTGTGAGAGTTGTGGCACGTAATGCTGTTGACCTACGCACACTCCACGGTGTATAAAGTCGCGCGAATGCGTCGCTACCATTGCGTCCGTGCCACCCACCTCGCTATCCACCGAGTGTTCACGCGCTACGGGCGCTGGTGCTGCCGATGCGGTCCCCGCCGCCGCCGCCGCCGGTGACGCCGCCTTTTTCACCGCGGAGACTGACGGCGAGGACACGGACGCAGGCCCCGGGGCCACCGACAAGGCCTTGGGTCCCATGGCCACGGGTGCCGGCATGGGCCCTATCAGCAGAGGCGGCGGTGCCACGGTAGCGGGCGCGGAGGAATCTTCGGCCATCTTCTCCACAAAATGGTACTTCCTCTTGCTTCTCTTCTTCTTGTTCTTCTTTTTCTTCTTCTTCTTCCTGTGGCCCTTTAAGACAAACGCGCAGTGGTGCAGCATTACACACTGTGCAAAGGCTGGCACCAGACAAAGTGTGCAGCGCTAGCACGGTGCCATCTGCACCACACGTAAGGTTATCGCCGTGCAAAGGCTGGCACCAGACACAAAGCGTGCGACGTTAGCACGCCCGCCGTCCGTGCCACAGGTAAGGTTCAGAATCAAGAATCTTTGTTTACTCTGGAGAAACCCGATTAGCTATGAAGCTCTTTTTCGCAGATGCCCAGTAGCGGCGGCTCAGACAGTTAACACAACAAACAATACGCAAAACGATCGGAGTGCAAAGTACAGTAAAGCAGGAGCAAGACGATGTATTGCTGTGCAAAGGCTGGCACCAGAAACAAAATTGTGTAGCGTTAGCACGGTGCAGTCTGCGCCACACCTAAGGATATTGCTGCACGTTGTGTTTAAAGTTGATCATTCCACCAGGCAAAGTCACACCCTTCGTTTGTTCTTTTTTTTAATAAAATACGAAGCCGCTTCTGATATAACTCACGAGAGGATCTCACGATTACACACCGAATGAGTAGAGGATTCAATCGTGGTGCCAACACCTCCTTACCTTGTCTTCATCTTCAGAGCTGCTAGATGAATCAGAACTTGAAGATGAGGAGGATGAAGAGTGCTTGACCGAAAAAGACAACACCTTCATTAGACTTTCCATACCGGGTCAGCGCGGGACACGAGCCTCCGCCAGACCGCTTGGCGTCCGTGTCACCAAGCGGAAGATATAAATGATATCAATTGCATAGAGGTAGAAAAACACACTAAACATAACTGCAGTAAAAATCTGCCCGGATCACTACCGCTTCCTGTAAAAAATAAAACCGTGGTGTTTGGAATTAAAGGCGTTGGGAATTAACTCAGGGTGCCCTTACAAAGCAGGCGATGGTTCACGAGTTGCTACGGCTTTAGTTCATTTGCTGGTAAAATCAAGGGCACAGGGATAAATTGTTCAAATGTGGTGTTAATCGTATAATGTAACTTTATGGGTCACAAAAATAGTGCCACAGGTATGTGAAACCCGAAATGTGAACATTTTTAGTCTCGGAGAATATTCGCAAAAACTAATATTACACATCACATATTACTCAAAATAAATTACTGTTAAGGTTTCTGCTTGCTGTCAGCTGAACCTTAATTTGATCACTTACATTAATATATAAAGCAAATATTTTTTTTATTTTTTACAATGATGCGCTACCAAGTTGGAATCTAAACATACCAAAAAAAAATCCAGCCAGGTGTCTCAGCGTAAAGAGCGAGCTGCTCCCAATTAAAAGACTGAATTCACATCCTAACTGGGGGTTTAATCAGCCCATCATCTCCCTGCGGTCGATAACAAAAATGTGTCACTTTTATCGGAAGTCAACAGCGGTTGTCCACGTGGATAGATTTTCCCCCTCTCAAAAGGAATGCAGAATATCCGCCACTGGCTCAGCGTTGGAAATGGGCGGCAGTTGAGGACCACACCTCAGTTAGGAAACCACTCGGCGACATCTAAACGGACCGAGGGCAGTGAAGTGTTGCGTAGAATATGACAAATAAGGACAAGTCCAAACCGCCTCACCCTTTTCTTCTTCTCTTTCGGTGGCTTCTTCTGCAAAAAATAAAAAAGACGCAGATAATTCAATGCGTCACAACACGCCAACCGCATTTACCCGCAGCCAAAACTTTCTCAAGAGTGGACTAATTCAAAGCCGAGGCAAACTTGAGCGAAGCCACACGCGCAACGGCGATCACCTGAGCAGCCAGCATCGCCACGATGCCCGGCACGCCAGGACCCCCCGAGGCAGCGGGGATGAGGGACACGTTCGGAGTGCCCGGGACTCCCAGCAACCCTGGGGTGGGTACAGGAACCTCCTCCTTTCTGTTCAGTAGCCTCTCTCTTTGCTGCTCAAGCTCTTTCTTGAAATCCTGCGGCACAAGGGGTGTGGACGACACAGCTGATCCACACCGTTGCAGGTAACAAAGGGAAGGTCCAGTTTGTGATAACTTTTCCCGGGCAGCTCTTCTCCAGCTGCACAGGTGAAATGAATACAAATTAATATTAAAATCCGCATTTGTACAAGTATAAAAAAAATAATAGGCTTTACCCTTTCTGGCAATAAAACAGGTGTTATAATATGTTCAAACACCAAATAGAAAACTTTTGCAAAGAATCTGGTTTGTCCCAATGTCCATTATTCAAAACAAGTGTGGAATTTTTACAGAAAAAAAGTTTATAGAAATGCTACAAAATGTGATCCTTTTTTGCCAGTATCAAAGTATGAAAAAATAACAATAGATTTTACCCTTTATGGCAATAAAACAGGTGGAGTTAAGATGTTCAAACACCAAATATAAACCTTTTACAAGGAATCAAGTCTGCATTAGCCACACGTACTTGTGGTGAACATGCAAACACACATGCTCTGATAATATATGGGGCATTGTCTTTGAAACTGACTGGCCTACACCAGAAACAGCCTTCTTCAGGGCCTAGTCTCACCAGTGTCAGACCAGAGAACGCCAAAAGGCGAACAGCACAGAGACAATGCACCCTCAGAGCATTCACAGCTCGGGTGAGCAGCTACAAAATGGGACCTTTTTCCAGTATCACAGTATGAAAAAATAAGAATAGGGTTTACCCTAAATGCTCTGAGAGTGCATTGTCTGTGCACTGTTCGCCTTTTGGCGTTCTCTGGCCTCACACTGGTGAGACGAGGCCCTAAAGAAGGCTGTCTCTGGTGTTGGCCAATCAGTTTCTAAGAGAATGCCCCATATATTATCAGAGCATGTGTGTTTGCATGTTCACCACAAGTACGCATGGCTAATGCAGACTTGATTCCTTGTAAAAGGTTTATATTTGGTGTTTGAACATCTTAACACCACCTGTTTTATTGCCAGAAAGGGTAAAATCTATTCTTATTTTTTCATACTTAGATACTGGCAAAAAAGGATCACATTTTGTAGCATTTCTATAAACTTTTTTTCTGTAAAAATTCCACACTTGTTTTGAATAATGGACATTGGGACAAACCTGCAATGCAGAAACATTTTACACGACAGTACAGTAAAACCTTGGATTGCGAGCATAATTCGTTCCGGAAACGTGTTTGTAATCCAAAGCACTCGTATATCAAAGCACTCGCGTATCAGTTGTGATCACGTGACGCTTGGCAGTACAAAGCGCATATGTACACTACTCGTATTGCAAGACCTCGCTCGTTTATCAAATTAATATTTATTCAAAATGTTTGCTCGTCTTGCAAAACACTCGCAGACCAAGTTACTCGCAATCCAAGGTTTTACTGTATTACATTTAATCACCGAACTGATATAACCACCCAAATTTATTGTAGAGCACTATCAACAACTTCAAAGCGAAATCGTATTGCATGGGTACCAGCGACTTGTGCATTGTGACGCAACAGAGGTGTCGCGAAGGCAACGCATTGCTGGAGAGGCTTACATCGTTCATCTTCTCCTCAAAGTCTGCAAGAGCCCTGGATCCTTTCCTCTTTTTTTCCAGTTGTTCCTTAACCTCGTCCCTGGGTAGAGCAGCAATAGGCGAGATGTACTTTCAGACACAATTCGCATTCCGCACATATGCAAAAGGAGCATATGGCCCCAGTACAGTGTGTGTACGACCGCCAATGCAGAGGCTCAATTTGTGGGCATAATAAAACCAATGATGGAAAATGGAAGTCCCAGATGGGTTAACTGGAATCCAATATACCACAAGTCCACGGTCATTCCTTTTTTTTCCTCCATTAGTCTATGGGCATTACATTTTCCATTGCGGTATATAGACATGTGTTGTCTCCATTAGAATCTATGGATATTCCTCCCCCCTCCCCCATTGTAGTCTATGGCGGGGGTCGGCAACCTGCGGCTCCAGAGCCACATGCGGTGGCTCTTTAAGGACTGCAGAGTGGCTCTTGAAATTCGGAAAAAAATGGCACTCATTGTTATTTTGGTTGCCGACCCCTGACCATGGGAGTCCAGTTTACCATGGGAGTCCAGTCCAGCATGGAAGTCCAGTTTACCATGGGAGTCCAGTTTACCATGGATATCCCGTTTACCATGGATATCCCATTTACCATGGGAGTCCAGTCCAGCATGGAAGTCAATTTTACCATGGGAGTCGTTTACCATGGATATCCAGTTTACCATGGGAGTCCAGTCCAGCATGGAAGTCAATTTTACCATGGGAGTCGTTTACCATGGATATCCAGTTTACCATGGGAGTCCAGTCCAGCATGGAAGTCAATTTTACCATGGGAGTCCAGTTTACCATGGAAGTCAATTTTACCATGGGAGTCCAATTTACCATGGGAGTCCAATTTACCATGGGAGTCCAGCTCACCATGGATATCCAGTTTACCATGGAAGTCAATTTTACCATGGGAGTCGTTTACCATGGATATCCAGTTTACCATGGGAGTCCAGTCCAGCATGGAAGTCAATTTTACCATGGGAGTCCAGTTTACCATGGAAGTCAATTTTACCATGGGAGTCCAATTTACCATGGGAGTCCAATTTACCATGGGCGTCCAGCTCACCATGGATATCCAGTTTACCATGGAAGTCAATTTTACCATGGGAGTCCAATTTACCATGGGAGTCCAGCTCACCATGGATATCCAGTTTACCATGGAAGTCAATTTTACCATGGGAGTCAATTTTACCATGGATATCCAGTTTACCATGGGAGTCCAGTTTACCATGGGAGTCCAGTCCAGCATGGAAGTCAATTTTACCATGGATATCCAGTTTACCATGGAAGTCGATTTTACCATGGGAGTCAATTTTACCATGGATATCCAGTTTACCATGGAAGTCGATTTTACCATGGGAGTCCAGTTTACCATGGGCAAGGGTCGGAAACCTGCGGCTGTGGAGCCTCATGCGGCCTCATTCAGGACCGTTTTGTGACGTCATTCATTAAGGACCATCACCTTCTCGTATTCGCATTGCACTGCGGCCCAAATTCGAAAGAAATGGCTCTCCTTGTTGTTTCAGTTGCCCACCCCTGGTCTGTGGGAATCCCGTGCTCTAAACATAGCCTACGGACATTTCTCTGTCAATGTAGTCTAACCGCCTCGATTTCATACGGACAGCCTCGGGGCCCCCCCTCCATAGGAATGCTGAAGTTCCCACCACTGCCTCGGGGCAGCGGACAGAAGACGCGCACTAGTGCCCCAACGTCGACTTGAGCGGGAAGTCACTCTTGGCGACTTAATTATCACTGCTCACGCAGCGCGGGGCCCGAGGAGCTGCGAGGAGGGTGGGGAATTTCGCGCGGCCTTACCATGTCGGCCGCGGCCGGTTGAGGTAGTCCTGTATGGTGCTCCCACCACCGGTGGCCGGCCCGCGGGCTCGGGCTGCTGCTATGGGATTTACCCAGGCCTCAGAGAGACGTTGCGTGAGGCGGCGGGGCACAAGTGACAGGGAGAGACGCGCACGGGGAGGGCAGGGGGTGGGAAGGGAACGCACGGAAGCACGCACAGAGGGACGTCGTGGCGGCGTGGGGAGGGGGGTGAGTGGGGGGGGGGACACAGGGACAGGCATGAACAGATGAGAAAGGCAGCAGCAGCAGCAGCCAGCGGTGGTACCGAGCGAGCAGGCCTGGTCTCCATCGCGGCGACAAGACAACGGGGCAAGGGGGGTGGAGGGAGGAGGAGTTCGTCACGGTGTTGCCGGCCCCAAGCTCGTGCGGCAGCGAGGGTACTCGCCGAGTCCCCCCACGTCACCGGGAAATCACTCACGGCCGGGTCCCGCTCGCCTCTGGGGTGGCGGCGACATGAGATTATTTTCCAACAATCGCCTCGAAAAGTCGCTTAAGATGGAGCACCCTCGATTTGCAAGGGTGTCAACCCAAATGAGAGCGCAGGCTACAGTGGTTTATCCACAATACAGGTTTTTTTTTGGGCGAGATCGCGTAAATATATAAATGTGTCGTTAAACCCTCCACCAGCCAATTATTAAGGGTTGTCACGTAAACAGAATATGCCAATTAGTTACAAGTACAGCACTAACCAGTGTGTTGGGGAGCAAAGCCCACAACATTCACAATCCCAGTATGACGATTCGCCAGTAATTTACAACTTGCATCATTCGTAGACAGCCAGATTTACGCGATCTAACCCAACAAAAAACCTGTCTTCTGGATGATATTGGTCGCGACAGCCTACGTGTTCGTAGTTTATTATACGAACCATCAATGTAAAGCACTGCCGTCTAAGCTCGGAACATTTAAGAGCACACCAATTCCCTCTCCTGAAGCCCTCTCGTCGTGGCTGGCAGACCTCGGCATCTCGCACGGGAACACATTGCCACACGCAGTAGGTTGACACACATCGTAAACAATGTTGTATACTGTAATATAGATCCCCAGTGTAGCCTTAACAGACTGTTGGGGCAAGTGCTGTTGGCGAGCAGCACCTATGAAGGCCCGGCACGGCACACGAGCGGGTGGGTAACACCACGCCCGACCGCCTTTGTCTCCCCAGTGGCGATGTTTACGCATTGTACCGGATACTAATTTGAGGCCAAGTCAACCTAGGGGAGGCCCACGACCGGGTTAAGATAATAATGTGTCGCAGGTGTTGGCCGCGAGCGGGAATCAAAACCGGGTCCTGGCACCGCTCCCCACTACACTACCGCTCCCCAGACACAATGCACACCCATACACACACAATGCACACCCATACACACAATGCACACCCATACACACAATGCACGCCCATACACACACAATACACGCCCATACACACACAATACACACCCATACACACAATGCACACCCATACACACACAATGCACACCCATACACACAATACACACCCATACACACAATGCACACCCATACACACAATACACACCCATACACACAATGCACGCCCATATACACACAATACACACCCATACACACAATACACACACAATACACGCCCATACACACAATACACACCCATACACACAATACACGCCCATACACACAACACACACCCATACACACAATACACGCCCATACACACACCCATACACACACATACGGTAATGCACACCCATTCACGCACACACAGGAAGCACGCAAATGCCGCGCAAACGCACGGACTGCCGTGCCGCTGCCTGTCTCGGTGCCGTAGCCGCCGTGTCTGTAATCTCATGCTGGATTCGACTCTCTGACGCTTCAACTTCTTCAGTGCCGCACGAAGCCTGAACCCGTGGCCAACAGCGGGAGCGCTGCCGGCTCTGGGGGCATTGCGGTGGGGGAGGTCGCCCGAGCTCCGTTTCATCAATCGACGAGCGCGGCGCGGGTGCAGCGGGCACCGTCTCGCGCGCGCCTGACCCGGGGAGCCAACGGAGGCGGCCTCCACGGCGGCCTCCTCGCCGCCCCCCCACCTCGTAAGGCCGCCCCCTAGGCCTCTGCTAGGCCAAGCCGACACCACGGTGGGGACGGGCGGCCCAATTCGCCCGCCCGCCCGCCCAACGGTGCCAGGCCGCGCTCTCGTGCGCTTACAATCCTCGTGTCGCGCTTGCCCATGGCGCCTTCGTGGCGGGGATCGCCCTGCGCGCCCTGCCGCTCCGACTGCTGCCGCGGCCTCCTCCTCGACTCCTCCTGCTGCTGCTGCTGCGAGGCGACGTCACACGAACCAGCAGGGACCACAATGCACCGCCGCCTCTAGAAGCTTCCGCGGGGAGAGGGAGGGGGCGTGGGAGGGTGAGGGTGGGGGGTCAGAGGGGGGTGGTGGGGGGGAGAGGGTGGGGGTCAGAGGGGGTGGTGGGGGGGGGAGAGGGTGGGGGGTCAGAGGGGGGTGGTGGGGGGAGAGGGTGGGGGTCAGAGGGGGTGGTGGGGGGAGAGGGTGGGGGGGTCAGAGGGGGGTGGTGGGGGGAGAGGGTGGGGGTCAGAGGGGGATGGTGGGGGGGGAGGGTGGGGGTCAGAGGGAGGTGGTGGGGGGGAGAGGGTGGGGGGTCAGAGGGGGGTGGTGGGGGGGGAGGGTGGGGGTCAGAGGGGGTGGTGGGTGGAGAGTGTGGTGGGTCAGAGGGGGGTGGTGGTGGTGAGTATCTGGTACGATGTGTAAACATCGCCACTGGGGAGACAAAGGCGGCCGGGTCTGGTGCTGGTCACCCACCCCGTTGTGTGCCGTGCCGGCCTTCGTAGGTGCTCGCTAACAGCACTTGGTCCGACAGTCTGTTAAAGCTATACGGGGAATCTGTGTTTGGGAGAGAGGGGAGAAGGGGGGGGGACGGAGAGGGGGTGTGGGGGGTCTAAGTGGGATGTGGGTGAGGGATGTGGGTGAGGGTTTGGGGGTGAGGGTAGAGCAGGCTTGCCCGTGTGGGTGGAAGTCAGTCCGATCTGGCCGCTCTCCGCCAGATGATGCAGCAGCAGCAGAGACGGCCGCTGTCTCCCATCGCACCGCCAGTGTCCGTGCGACTTCTCCTTTGCGATAAGCGAACGCGATGTTGCCGGGGCACGGCGTCAAACTGCCACATGCGATGTGTCACCTCAACCCGTGGAGAGACCATCTCAATCATCCTTCCTGTGGCGCGGGGCAAGATGTAAACTTCCTCGCCTCGTATAACGCGAGGGTTCGATCCCGACCCTGACGCCCGCTGCTGTTTATTTGGAGTTTGCGGTGTCTCTCTCCCTCCCCCCATGGTCGCGTTGATTTTTCTCCGGGTCCTCCGGGTTTTCCCCCGCCACAGTTTAGAATGGACGTGAGCTTCAACGCAATTTTGGCCGCTCAACATTTCCACGGTGATAAGCCGACTTCGCTGAGCAATCATTTGTGACAGCCTGGTCGCTTCTGAAAATGAGCTCAGTAACTCAGTGGTGGGCCTTACCTGGTAAAATATTAAATAAAAAAATAGTAATGTTAAATAATCCCGACTGTGCAGTGCCGTAACGAGCGTGGGGGCAGGCAGGGGGTGCCTTGCCCACCTCCCCTGGTGGCCAAAGCTACAAGTTTGGCCCCCCTAGACCACCACCACCACGAGATTTGTTTTCAACAACAGTGTTGGGTCTTCTTTGGTTATTTCGGTAAAGTCACGTAGAATGAGAATAAAATAATAAATTAATAAAATAACACAATAAAATTCTCACGACGTTTCGGCCACAACACAAGTGGCCTTCTTCAGGTGAAAGGAACAGACCCTCAACTTCAGCAGTGTTGGGGCCCCACCTGAGCGATTGCTCCACCCCCTGAGCTTCCAATGTGAGTCGCTGCGTCTGCTGAGCAGCGGCTGTGGCCACGGCGGCGTCTTGATCTTGTTGCACGGTGCAGATGGGCGCGGTGGGGAGCGACCGGGATTGACGGCGCTGGAGCGTCTGTGAAACGAGCTTCACGGCTCTTCGGATTCGCCCAGGATAAGTAAAGGTTCTGATTCGTCCAGCGCCACGGAGCGAGGCGAGACTGCGTGCGCCGGGTGCGCGCGGGGTGGGGGCGGGGGTGGGAATTCAGTTCGGATGCCCAAACGTGGGGGTTGCCAAGTGCATGTGTCGTGCCAACGATTCAGAGTTTATAGGAGGCACCGTCTTTATTAACAACTTCCACGGTCTCGTCCACACACTCTCCACAGTAGCTCAGCCTCGCCTGTACACAACACGAGCCGTCTAACACTGACGGCGCTGACCGAGATGGCCAACTGCTCTCCTTCGCAGCGCGATGTCTAGCGGAGACGACAGCCACGACGACACGAGGCCACTCCCAGAACCGGCAGCCCCGAGCCCCCCGCTCTCGGCTCCTTTTATGCTCCCAGCGCGGCCCTGGCTCTGCCCTGACCGCGCCTCCCATCTCGAACCCGCTAGCAGGTTCCAGGAGCCTCCAGATGGGGCCCTCCGTGACCCTTACCCCAGTTCCTCTACTCTGCCCACGCACCGTGCACGATCTCACGGGCGTGTGTGCTGTCTGTAACTTGTGTCGGGGTTGAGATCTGCACCGCGGCTAATTCGCTGCGATGTCTCAAAGGAAGCAACAATGGGTGAGCCGAGCTCCATCCACATCGCTGCTCCCGCTCTGCTCCCTCCGAGGGCTTCCGTCCGCATGGCCCCAGGGCGCGCGCATCCACGCGCCGCTTGACGCATGCCGTGACTGGGCAAGAGACTCTGTGGATGTGGAAACAATAACATCGACTCCTTTCCCTATGTGTCTCCTCTGCACGCACATACACGAAAAGAGGAAGTGTGTTCTACACGAGCCACGAGCAGCACGCTCGTCTTGACAGTGCATCTTTCATCGGCAACATGGCTTCAATGCGGTTTGACATTCGCTGTCTCGTCAGGCAAGAGTTGAGCTCACTTGAAGCAGTGCTGGTGAGCTGCCCTCCCACCGGGGTGTTCACGCAAGAGGGCCCTTCCCTCTTGCAAGGGGCTATTCGTTGTAAGCGGCTCATCGTGTCAGGAATCCACTGGCGAAATTGAAGACATACTCTTTGGTTCTATTCGGTAAAGTCACGTAGGTAAAAAATAAAACAATAATCACGACGTTTCGGCCACAACACCAGCGGCCTTCATCAGGTGAAGGGACCAGACTGTCTCGAAGACTGCGCTGGAGTGAAACACAGCCAAGCTCAGCTCTGTTTCACTCCAGCGCTGTCCTCGAGACAGTCCTTGCAGTCACGAAAGCTGCAAATCTAGAATTGAAATTGAAGGCAGCCAGAAACCGGCACCGATAATTGCCCGAGTTCTGTGGTCCGCCAGTAGGGGGGGCGGGGGAGAGATTACTCCCTGTCAACAATCCCCGTCTTTTTAGTGTGCATGCTCACCGCAAGTTTGTGTGTGGTTAATGCAGTACACGATCCCTTGCAAAAGTTTTCAGTTTGTTGTCTTAGAATCTTAACACAGCTGTTTTATTGCCAGAAAGGGTGAAACCTATTGTTATATTTTGATACTATATATAAGCATAGGTTTTCCCCTTTTTTCTGGCAATAAAACAGTTGTGTTAAGATTTTATGTTGATGTAAATCTTTCGTGACTGCAGTAATTCATATTCTTAGCTCTTCCGGTAAAGTCACGTTGAAGGGAAACAATAAAATAATACAATATATAGACCGTTTGCGTTATGGTCGAAACGTCGTGAGAATTTTTGTTTTATATATATTTTATTATTTTATTGTTTCCCTTCAACGTGACTTTACCGAAAGAGCTAAGAATTGTGTTAAGATGTTAAAACACCAAACTGAAACTTTTTGCAAGGAATCATGTCTGCATTAACCACAGATACTTGTGGTGAACATACAAACGAAAAAAACATGCGCTGACAGTAGATGCATTGTCTTTGAAACTGATTGGTCCACGCCACAGACAGGGGAACACCTATTTTCACCCCAAGAATTGTGGTTAATTTCAGACATGATTCCTTGCAAAAAGTTTCAGTTTGGTCTTTTAACATCTTAACACAACCGTTTTATTGCCAGAAAAAAGGGTAAACCTATTCTTATATTTTGATACTGGCAAAGGAGGTCCCACGATGTAGCTGCTCGCCCCCAGCTCTCATTGTTCTCTTTCGCTGTTCGCCTTTTGGCGTTGTCCTCTGGTCTCAGGCTGTTTGAGACGAGGCTCTAAAGAAAGCTGTCTCTGGTGTGGTTTCAAAGACAATGCATCATCATACACTACCAGAGCATGTCTTTTTTTATCTGTATGTCCACCAAAAGTAGGTGAGAGGTTAATGCAGACATGATTTCTCGCAAAAGGTTTCAGTGTGGTGTTTTAACATCTTAACACAACTGTTGTATTGCCGTAAAGGGTAAAACCTAGTCTTAGGTTTTACCCTTACACGCAGGCTTTCGCGACCAATATCATCCATAATATAGATCGCGTAAATAATTATCGCGGGTGAAATCGCGGGTGAAATGTTCAAATATGGCAAGTTTTCACCGCGACGCCGATCACAACGGGCACTGCTGCTGCTGCTCTTGCCGAATACGTCGCGGGCATCACGAACGACCCAAGCGGGTGAAGCAGACGGCGCGTGGTGCCCAGGGTGTGGTGAACGGCGACATCAACGACGACGACATCCACCCGCGGTCACAACCGTCTGCAACGACGGGTGAACGCCTTACCCGCTGGACGCTTCACGCTTCACGAACACGCAGGGGTGATGGTGGCGGTGGTGTTGGTGGTGGCGTTATTGGTGGTGGTTATGGTGTTGGTGGTGTTCGCGCCCGGCACCGGGTACTCGTTGCAGGCTGAGCCCAACCCAGGCAGGGCCCTGGGAGAAGCTTCGGGTCGGCGCTGTCGCCTGCAAGGGATGCGCGCCCACAGCCAGGAGTTGAACCCAGGTGACCGGAGCAGTGTCCCGACAATTGCGTCCGCCGCTCCCCACACGGACGCCACACAAAGTTGTAACCCTGCTGCTGCGGCAAGTGCTGCTAGCGAGCACCGATGAAGGCCGCCACGGCACACGAGGGGGGGGGGGGGCGTTGTGGCCAGCACCACACCCGACCGCCTTTGTCTCCCTAGTGGCGATGATTTCACACACCGCGCAAGGTACTCATTTCAGGCTGAGTCGACCTAGGAGAGGTACAGGACCGGTTCGAATATTCGTCACTGGTGTTTGTCCGTGAGCGGGAATCGAACTCGGGTGGCCGGGTTCCTATCGAACTGTGCTAACCACTACGCCACCGCTCCCCGTGCACACACCCAAGCGATCGCACGCGCATACTCACACGAACACTCACACACACACATAACGTATACACACGAGCACACAGTCACAGCCGCACACAGCCACACGTACATACACACACACGTCTCGGCTGGGAACAGACAGGTGTGTGTGTGCGTGTGTATGCGTGCGTGTGTGTGCGCGTGTGTGCGCGCGCGTGTGCGTGTTTGCCTGTGTGTGTGCGTGTGTGTGTCTGCGAAGGCTGCGTTGGCTGGGTCATGTAGCCCGCATGCCCAGCCACCGCATGCCGAAACAGCTTTTGTTCGGCCGGATCGAGGGGGCTAAACGGGCTAGAGAAGAGATGGAGTGATGTGGTACAGGAGGGCGTGGAGCTGAGTGGACTTGCCGATGACTGGTACCAGCGGTGTCAAGATCGGCCTCTGTGGAGGAGGCTCGTGAAGGACGCTACTGGGCAGTTGGAGGTAGTCGCCCTCCAACAACAACGGAGGGCGGAGGAGCGACGCTCACAACAACGAGCGGAGCGCCGGGTGGCTAAAGTACAGCAGGTTGGCACAGTAGGGGGCACAGGTGGTGCATCAGCCAGTCATCTCAGTCGGTCGACCCGTGGCACCTGGGTCTGCCCCGTGACCTCCTGCCAGCGGGCGTTCGACACTTCACGTGGCCTCAAGGTGCACATAGCCTGGCACAAGCGTCGTGGTGACGTCACCGCCACTTAATGGCAAATGGCGGTTGTTGTTGTGTCTGTGTGTGTGCCTGTATGTGCGTGTCTGTGTGTGTCTGTACGTGTGTGCCTGTATGTGTGCGTGCGTGTGTGGGGGACGCATCGCCGCCCTCACCTCCGCGCTCCGCTCTGCCGCCGTACGCGGAGTGCGGGAGACGCGAGCGGTGACGCGGGGAGGGGGGGGGCGGCGCTGGGGGTTGGGGGGGGGGTCAGGGTTGGGGGGGGGGCGCGCTGAGGGAGCCGTGGGACGCGCGCCTCACTCCACGGAGGGAGACGCTCGCTCGCTCGTTCGCTCGCTCGCTCCGCAGGGATCCGCGCCGGCAGCTGCAGCAGCAGCAGCGCACGCGAGCCCGAGCCCGGGTCGTCCTCCGCGGAGGGGTCCTCCTCGACCCTCCCCGACCTCCCTGCGCCCCATCCAGGGTCGCTCCTGGGGTCCCCGTCACATGCGGCGATAGCGCGGGGGCCCTGAGAGGCCCCGGCGATGGCGAACCCCGGAGATTCGGTTCTGCGCGACTGAGGAGGCCTCGAGGGAGAGGCGCGTGGAGAGTGAGAGAGTGTGGGAGGTGGTGGGTGGGGGGTGGGGGGGTTAGACCTGCAGCACAATCACCATGAGTCCTGGCGGATCCATGGAGGTCCCGCGTTCCTCCACTCACTTCTGAGCAGCGCATCTGCTGAGGCCGGAGAGGCCCGGCCGCTGCATCGGGCGGGGAGGATGGAGGGCGGAGAGCGTGGCAGGCGAGACGTCCACGGGCAGGGCCGCTGCGGCGGCTACGAGCGCGTGGTCATCAACGTCTCGGGGCTGCGCTTCGAGACGCAGCTCGAGACGCTGGCGCATTTCCCGGACACGCTGCTCGGCGACTCGGCGCGGAGGATGAACTTCTTCGACTTCCTGCGCAACGAGTACTTCTTCGACAGGAACCGGCCGAGCTTCGACGCGATCCTCTACTACTACCAGTCCAAGGGGAAGCTGCGGAGGCCCGACAGCGTCCCGTACGACATCTTCATCGAGGAGGTCAAGTTCTACGAGCTCGGCGAGGAGACCATCACGCGCTACCGCGAGGACGAGGGCTACGCGAAGGAGGAGGAGAAGCCGCTGCCCGAGAGCGCGTTCCAGCGCCAGGTGTGGCTCCTCTTCGAGTACCCGGAGAGCTCCAGCCCCGCGCGCATCATCGCCATCGTGTCCGTGCTCGTCATCGTCATCTCCATCGTGATCTTCGTGGCGGAGACCCTCCCCGAGTTCCGGGACGAGAAGGAGCTTCACTCGCGGCCGCGGCCCCTCGGCAACGGCACGGAGGCGCGGCCGGCGCCCTCCTTCGTCACGGACCCCTTCTTCATCGTGGAGACGATCTGCATCATCTGGTTCTCGTTCGAGCTGCTCATCCGCTTCTGCGCGTGCCCCAGCAAGCCGGGCTTCTTCAAGAACATCATGAACTCCATCGACATCGTGTCGATCATGCCCTACTTCATCACCCTGGGCACGGAGCTTGCCGAGCACACGGGCTCCGCGAACGGACAGCAGAGCATGTCGCTCGCCATCTTCAGGGTGGTGCGTCTCGTGCGCGTCTTCAGGATCTTCAAGCTATCGCGCCACTCCAAGGGGCTGCAGATCCTCGGCCAGACGCTGCACGCCTCCATGCGCGAGCTGGGTCTGCTCATCTTCTTTCTCCTCATCGGGGTCATCCTCTTCTCGAGCGCCATCTTCTTCGCCGAGGCGGACGAGCCGGACACGCAGTTCACGAGCATCCCCGAGGCCTTCTGGTGGTCGCTCGTCACCATGACCACGGTGGGATACGGCGACATGTTCCCCGTGACGCTGGGCGGCAAGATCGTGGGTTCGCTGTGCGCCATCGCGGGCGTGCTCACGATCGCGCTGCCCGTGCCCGTGATCGTCTCCAACTTCAACTACTTCTACCACCGCGGCGCCGGTGCCGAGGAGCAGACGGAGCCCGCCGAGGAGGAGGCGGCCTCGCCGGCCTCCTGCAGCCACAGCAAGCGGAGCCGCAGCGCCTCCAGCCTCAGCCGGTGCGACTACACGGACGACCTCGCCGCCTTCCTGGAGCCCAATCACGTGGAGTGAGCGGCTGGCGAGCGGCGGCGGTGGTGGTGGTGGTGGCCGGGCTCCATTTGGGTGAGGAGCCGAGGTGAGGAACAAGCGCGCCCGGACGCGCGTCCGTCATTCCGTGCCCCCCCCACCACCCCGAGCCATCGTCGCACGCCAGGGCCGCGTCGTGCCGGGGTGCCGAGCCGCGGGCGGGCGAGCGGGGGCGGGGGGGCACTCCACGCTCAAAACTCCACACAGGCCGGAAAAAAAGTCCGCCCTGCGTTGTCGAGATTCACGAACGCGGAGCAGCGCCCATGAACCTCGGCTCCTTCTCCCCCCGCCCCTCCCCAAGCCTTCAATTTGTCTGTGCCGACACCACGGAAGACTCTGCGCTCCGTGTCTCCCTCGCTCGGATGGAGGTCACCACGCGTTTAGCGATGCCCCCCACACCACCACCACCACCGCCCAGGTCCTGCACGGCCTCCTGCAGCGCGAAGTCTTCGCGAGCTGGACCGACGACAGCGGCGGCATTGACCGACGCCGCATGGCGTGAACTCAACGATGATGTTGCTTTCCTTGGCGACCCATCACTCGTCACCACCCCCCCACCCCCCCCGGGACGCGGAGATCCGCTCGCTCCGGACCCGTCGGCGTTCGCGTAAATCGCGACATCTTTTGGAGGGTGATTTTAATCGGTAATCGGTCATTGTAAGTAAAAAAAATATCGTCCAGTCGATCGGGTTTTTTTTGTGTGTGTGGAACATGCCTCGAATTACTTGCAATGGGAAAGCCACGTGCAACCTCTGCTGCATGTTCTGGTAGCAGCAGCAGAAGAAGAAGAAGAAGCAATGCCAGCTGCGAGACTTTGAATCGCAGAGCCTGAACCCCGCATGCCGCTGCGAGTCTTCACGTGTTGGGGCTGGGACCTCAGAGATTCGCCTGCTCGCTGCGCTTCTTTTGCCTGTCGTTCCACACGCCGCGTCTCCGCATATCGGCCCTGAGCGTCTCTCGCCCCGGCAAGGTGTGGTGGGGAGGGCGCTGCGTTACATTCACGAGCTTTTGTTAAAGTCCGATCGACGTGGGCGACTAGGCCGGCGACTACTACGAGATTCCACAGCGAGATTTATGACCCAGCCCCCCATCCCAAGATATCAGATAGGCCGCCCCAGAGGGGGGCGGGAAGGGTTGTGGGTGTTTTATTTTTGTTGTTGTTGTTGCGGGGACCGGCTCGATGTTCACGTTCAAAAGCTCTGCGCTCCAACAAACCTTCCCGACGGTCCTCGTCGCGAAAGGTCAGAGTCTATATCGTTTAATAAACACATTCCCAGCTCGAAACCTGTCACAACTTCTGCGTATTGAACAAACAAAACAAAAACAGCGAACAGACAAATAACCCGAGCGCGGCCTTCCCCGCGTATCTCGTGTGGAACAAGGCCGCAGTGTACGGGGAGTGGACGCAACGGGGCCATGATGGAACATACCCGACAAAAGGTGGTCGAGACGCGAAGATTCACACCGGGCTGACAGTGCCAGGTGGGGGCTGAGGGCGCGCAGCTGCCGCTGTGTCCCCCGGTGGCAAGGCTGGCAGGGTGGCTGATGGGACTGGCTGCTCGGTAGGAACGCCGCGACACAACGAGCCCCGAGATCATCTCATCGTCACAAAACCCAAACACCTGCACATCATCACTGCACCCTTCACATCATCACTAAAACCTGCACATCATCACTGCACCATGCACATAATCACTAAAACCTGCACATTATTAGTGAACCCTTCACATCATCACTGCACGCTCCACATCATTACTGAACCCTTCACATCATCACTGCACCGTGCACATCATCACTAAATCCTGCACATCATTACTGCACCCTGCACATCATTACTGAACCCTTCACATCATCACTAAACCCTCACCATCAGCACTGCACCCTTCACATCATCACTAAATCATGCACATCATTACTGAATCCTCCACATCATCACTGAACGCTCCACATCATCACTAAACCCTTCACATCATCACTGCACCCTCTACATCATCACTGAACACTTAACATCATCACTAAACCTCTACATCATCACTAAATCATCCACATCATCGCTGAACACTCCACATCATCACTGAACACTCCACATCATCACTAAACCCTTCACATCATCAGTGAACTCTTCACATCATCACTATACCCTTCACATCATCACTGCACCCTTAACATCATCACTGCACCCTCTACATCATCACTGAACCCTTCACATCATTACTGAACCCTCTACATCGTCACTAAACCCTCTACATCATCACTAAACCCTCTACATCATTACTGAACCCTTCACATCATCACTAAATCCTCCACATCATCGCTGAACACTCCACATCATCACTAATCCTTCACATCATCACTAAACCCTCTACATCATCACTGGACCCTCTACATCATCACTAAACGCTCCACATCATCACTAAACCCTGTACATCATCACTAAACCCTTCGCATCATCACTGAACCCTTCACATCATCACTAAACCCTCTACATTATCACTGAACTCTTCACATCACTAAACCATTCACATCATCACTATACCCTCTACATCATCACTAAACCCTCTACATCATCACTAAACCCTTCACATCATCACTAAACCCTCTACATCATCACTAAACCCTCTACATCATCACTGCACTCTTCACATCATCACTAAACCCTCTACATCATCACTAAACTCTTCACATCATCACTGAACCCTTCACATCAGCACTAAACCCTCTACATCATCACTTTACACTCCACTTCATCACTAAACCCTTCACATCATCACTAAACCCTTCACATCATCACTACACCCTTCACATCATCACTAAACCCTCTACATCATCACTAAACCCTGTACATCATCACTAAACCTCTACATCATCACTGAACCCTTCACATCATCACTAAACCCTCTACATCATCACTAAACCCTCTACATCATCACTAAACCCTCTATATCATCACTAAACCTCTACATCATCACTGAACACTCCAAATCATCACTAAACCCTCTATATCATCACTAAACCCTCTACATCATCACTAAACCCTCTACATCATCACTAAACCATGTACATCATCACTAAACCCTCTACATCATCACTAAACCGTGTACATCATCGCTGAACACTCCACAACATCACTAAACCCTCTACATCATCACTAAACCCTTCACATCATCACTAAACCCTTCACATCATCACTAAATCCTCCACATCATCACTAAACCCTTCACATTATCACTAATCCTTCACATCATCACTAAACCCTCTATATCATCACTAAACCCTCTACATTATCACTGAACTCTTCACATCACTGAACCATTCACATCATCACTATACCCTCTACATCATCACTAAACCCTCTACATCATCACTAAACCCTCTACATCATCACTGAACCCTTCACATCATCACTAAACCCTTCATATCATCACTAAATCCTCTACATCATCACTAAACCCTCAACATCATCACTAAATCCTCCACATCATCACTAAATCCTCCACATCATCACTAAACCCTTCACATCATCACTAAACCCTTCATATCATCACTAAACCTTCTACATCATCACTAAACCCTCAACATCATCACTAAACCCTCTACATCATCACTAAACCCTCTACATCATCACTAAACCCTCCACATCGTCACTAAACCTCTACATCATCACTGAACTCTTCACATCATCGCTGAACCCTCTACATGATCACTGAACCGTTCACATATTCACTGCACCCTCTACATCATCACTGCACGCTCTACGTCATCACTGAACAATCCACATCATCACTAAACCCTCTACATCATCACTAAACCCTGTACATCATCACTAAACCTCTACATAATCACTGAACCCTTCACATCATCACTAAACCCTCTACATCATCACTAAACCCTCTACATCATCACTAAACCCTCTACATCATCACTAAACCCTCTACATCATCACTAAACCCTCTACATCATCACTAAACCTCTACATCATCACTGAACACTCCACATCATCACTAAACCCTCTATATCATCACTAAACCCTCTACATCATCACTAAACCCTCTACATCATCACTAAACCCTGTACATCATCACTAAACCCTCTACATCATCACTAAACCGTGTACATCATCGCTGAACACTCCACAACATCACTAAACCCTCTACATCATCACTAAACCCTCTATATCATCACTAAACCTCTACATCATCACTGAACACTCCAAATCATCACTAAACCCTCTATATCATCACTAAACCCTCTACATCATCACTAAACCCTCTACATCATCACTAAACCATGTACATCATCACTAAACCCTCTACATCATCACTAAACCGTGTACATCATCGCTGAACACTCCACAACATCACTAAACCCTCTACATCATCACTAAACCCTTCACATCATCACTAAACCCTTCACATCATCACTAAATCCTCCACATCATCACTAAACCCTTCACATTATCACTAATCCTTCACATCATCACTAAACCCTCTATATCATCACTAAACCCTCTACATTATCACTGAACTCTTTACATCACTGAACCATTCACATCATCACTATACCCTCTACATCATCACTAAACCCTCTACATCATCACTAAACCCTCTACATCATCACTGAACCCTTCACATCATCACTAAACCCTTCATATCATCACTAAATTCTCTACATCATCACTAAACCCTCAACATCATCACTAAATCCTCCACATCATCACTAAATCCTCCACATCATCACTAAACCCTTCACATCATCACTAAACCCTTCATATCATCACTAAACCTTCTACATCATCACTAAACCCTCAACATCATCACTAAACCCTCTACATCATCACTAAACCCTCTACATCATCACTAAACCCTCCACATCGTCACTAAACCTCTACATCATCACTGAACTCTTCACATCATCGCTGAACCCTCGACATGATCACTGAACCGTTCACATATTCACTGCACCCTCTACATCATCACTGCACCCTCTACGTCATCACTGAACAATCCACATCATCACTAAACCCTCTACATCATCACTAAACCCTGTACATCATCACTAAACCTCTACATAATCACTGAACCCTTCACATCATCACTAAACCCTCTACATCATCACTAAACCCTCTACATCATCACTAAACCCTCTACATCATCACTGAACACTCCACATCATCACTAAACCCTCTGTATCATCACTAAACCCTCTACATCATCACTAAACCCTCTACATCATCACTAAACCCTGTACATCATCACTAAACCCTCTACATCATCACTAAACCGTGTACATCATCGCTGAACACTCCACAACATCACTAAACCCTCTACATCATCACTAAACCCCTCACATCATCACTAAACCCTTCACATCATCACTAAATCCTCCACATCATCACTAAACCCCTCACATCATCACTAATCCTTCACATCATCACTAAACCCTCTATATCATCACTAAACCCTCTACATTATCACTGAACTCTTCACATCACTGAACCATTCACATCATCACTATACCCTCTACATCATCACTAAACCCTCTACATCATCACTAAACCCTCTACATCATCACTGAACCCTTGACATCATCACTAAACCCTTCATATCATCACTAAATCCTCTACATCATCACTAAACCCTCAACATCATCACTAAATCCTCCACATCATCACTAAATCCTCCACATCATCACTAAACCCTTCACATCATCACTAAACCCTTTACATCATCACTAAACCCTCAACATCATCACTAAACCCTCTACATCATCACTAAACCCTCTACATCATCACTAAACCCTCTACATCATCACTAAACCCTTCACATCATCACTAAACCCTTCGTATCATCACTATACCCTATACATCATCACTAAATCCTCAACATCATCACTAAACCCTCTACATCATCACTAAACCCTCTACATCATCACTAAACCCTCCACATCGTCACTAAACCTCTACATCATCACTGAACTTTTCACATCATCGCTGAACCCTCTACATGATCACTGAACCGTTCACATATTCACTGCACCCTCTACATCATCACTGCACCCTCTACATCATCACTAATCCCTTCACATCATCACTGAACCCTCTACATCATCACTGACCAATCCACAAGGTAACTACGTCTCTTGACCCCTCACTCGCGTCGCGACGAACCCCCTGCGAGGCCGGTGGCCGCGTGGAGTGGTGGATGCCTTGTGGGCATCACACGAGTGTAGTGTGTGGAGTGTGTGTAGTGTGTGGAGTGTGGAGTGTGTGGAGTGCAGGGTGTGGAGTGTGTGGAGTGTGTGGAGTGTGTGGAGTGTGTGGAGTGTGGAGTGCAGGGTGTGGAGTGTGTGGAGTGTGTGGAGTGTGGAGTGTGTGGAGTGTGTGGAGTGTGTGGAGTGTGTGGAGTGTGGAGTGTGTGGAGTGTGTAGAGTGCAGGGTGTGGAGTGTGGAGTGTGTGGAGTGCAGGGTGTGGAGTGTGTGGAGTGTGGAGTGTGGAGTGTGTGGAGTGTGTGTAGTGTGTGGAGTGCAGGGTGTAGAGTGTGTGGAGTGTGGAGTGTGGAGTGTGTGGAGTGTGTGGAGTGTGGAGTGTGTGGAGTGCAGGGTGTGGAGTGTGTGTAGTGTGTGGAGTGCAGGGTGTGGAGTGTGTGGAGTGTGGAGTGTGTGGAGTGTGGAGTGCAGGGTGTGGAGTGTGTGGAGTGTGTGGAGTGTGTAGAGTGCAGGGTGTGGAGTGTGTGGAGTGTGTAGAGTGCAGGGTGTGGAGTGCAGGGTGTACAAGGTGTGCAGGTGGTGTAGGGTGTGTATGGTGTGTAGTGTGTGGGATGCAGGGTGTGGAGTTCAGGGTGGAGCGTTGAAGGTGAATAAAAGTTGGGTGAAGGATGTAGTGTGTCGATTGGAGTGGAAAGTTGAATGTGGGATTGGGTGGATGGTGGTCTGTGCGGACAGAGGGTGGATTGTAGGGTGGAGTGGAGGGTGGAGTGGATGGTGGTCTGTGCGCACAGAGGGTGGATTGTAGGGTGGAGTGGAGGGTGGAGTGGATGGTGGTCTGTGCGGACAGAGGGTGGATTGTAGGGTGGAGTGGAGGGTGGAGTGGACGGTGGTCTGTGCGCACAGAGGGTGGATTGTAGGGTGGAGTGGAGGGTGGAGTGGATGGTGGTCTGTGCGGACAGAGGGTGGATTGTAGGGTGGAGTGGAGGGTGGAGTGGACGGTGGTCTGTGCGCACAGAGGGTGGATTGTAGGGTGGAGTGGAGGGTGGAGTGGATGGTGGTCTGTGCGCACAGAGGGTGGGTTTCGGAGTGGAGGGTTCAGTTGAGGATGGAGTGCGGAGCGGCGCTTGGAGCCCGCGCCGACTCTGTGATCGCTGTCAGTGCGAGTCGCCTCCCGCGGGACAATCTGCGCCGCCGTCGCCGGCTCGGGTCTAAAATAACTCCGCGCGTCTCCCCGCGTCTCCCACCGCGCCGATCACGACGCGCGAACGCAAAGGCAACGGGCTCTGAGCGGTGCCTTTGCGCGGGGACGTAAACAAGCGACGTCTTATCGGTTTGCGAGGCGCGATGGGAATGTGCGGGAGCCCCCGCAGGATGCGTGGCGGGCGGCCTGCGGGGAAGCCGCGAGCCCCCGCAAGGCTGCCCACTCCGCACGGAGCGCCTCTCTCGGAGGGGGGGGGGGGGGGGCGGGGGGGGGGGCAGAGCGCGAAATTTGACGACGCCAGACTCGCGCCGGACACCGCCACGTACCTTGCATACGGAGCAATATCAATGTGAATAATTGTGATTCACACGTATTTGTAAGGCGCCTTCCACTCGTGTCTCAAAGGGCGCCCTGGTAAGATTCGGGTTCAGGAAAGGCCAAGAGAGAAGGAGGAGCGAGACAGACTAAACGGACTTAAGAAAATGTGTGTGTTTTTTTTTTAGACGCGACATCAAAGTGTCCACATTGTCGGTTTCCAACGGTAAGGAATTCCACACAGACGCGGCACAAATGCCCGCGCACCGCACGAACGCGCTCCGCGCAGAAGGGCAGAGTCTGTAGATCTTGACGACATTGAGGGGCTGTACGGATGGATTCGCTCGTGACCATGTGGTGGTGGTGGTGGTGCCGGCCCACGCAAGGTTTAAAAAAAATACACACTCGTAGAAGAAAACTCTAACTCGTTTCAAGACCGGTAGCCAATGTGGTCACGTAACGAGGTTCGGGTGAGGAACACAACTGCCGCATTCTGTAATAAGAGTACGAATGTTGAACTTTGCCAATAAATGAAATGCAAACAAGGGCGATGTTTTGGAGTTCTGTGAGAGCGGAGGAGGGCCGGGTGGACGACGATTGTAAAGAATGGCGAGGAATGGTGAAGGTGCCGGAAATCGCGGTGTGCGTCAACATTTCCTTCACACCCAGGGGTTTCTCTAAAGTCTCAGAAGTTGTCTCTCCATGGAGCCCCATTCCCCCCCCCCCGACGGCACTCTCCCCTGCCACCGCTGTCCCGTGCAGCGCGCGCGTGTGTGTTGAACTTCTTTCGCACTGTACGTAGCCAACCGTGCTAATCGGAGGTGCGGGATGTCCGTGCGAACACATTGAACACCCTACTCACAACGACAACAACAACAACAACAACCCCCGCATGTATATACACGTTAGTATCCCAAGGTTGTGCTCACGTGCATTTGGAATCACAAGAGTAAATGTTTTGTTTACAAAAGTTTTAAGTGTTTAACACCAGGAAGCCTCGCCGATCCTGTAGATGTGGAGTTTGCGTGTCTCTCTACCCGTGGTCCCGCGGATTTTTCTCTGGGTCCTCCGGATTTCACCTCCAAATTTAGAATCAACATCACGCGTTTAGAGTTTTTTGGCTGCCGTAAATGTCCACACGATAAGCCACTTTCTTTGGGCTATCATCTGTGGCCAGGTCGCTTCTGAAAAAGAGCTCTAGATCTCAGTGGTGGGCCTGATCTGGTAAAATAAAAACATTATTTAGTTTGGAGTCCCATGACTCTTTTGTTTTCAGGAGAGTCCTGCACTGCGACGCTTGGCCAATATCTGCGTGTAGCCGGACACCAAAGCGTGATGCACTCTGCGCACAGACGGGTCAGATGGCCTGCATGCTGTACTACCTCCCTCAAAAACGTCTCACCACCACCACCACCACCCTGCCACGTGCCAGCTGTTTCAGTGTGGTACATCGGGACAAAGTGTCCCAATTCAGGTGTCCCACACTCCGAGACGGCTGTCTTCGTGTAGGACAGCTGTCTCTGTGCGGGGCAGCTGTTTTCAGTGTGGTACATCGGTACAAAGTGTCCCAGTTCAGGTGTCCCACGCTCCGAGACGGCTGTCTTCGTGTAGGACAGCTCTACCAGCATATAACAGCTGTCCCGCTGTCAGACAGCTGTCCCCATCAGAGAGCGCCCTTGCGCGCCGGGCAAAGTGTTGGCTTACACCGCTGGCAAACGTCCACGGTGAAGCGAGCTGCCGTGCGTTCCGTCCTCCCTCGCCGTGTCACGGAAAGAGTTTCAAACCCAGGCTGCGGTCGGAACAATCACCGACACGTGTTTCGATTGCA